TTCCGGAGCTTTGGAAAAACTTTGCCCTGCAAAGACAAGGGGGGGGGGGGGAGTTGAGGCTGAAGCTGCCATACCTAAAGATGAAGCAGGCAGGTAAGCAGAGAGGACCAAAAGCAGGGGTGGGATTCAGCCGGTCCAGACTAGTTCGGGCGAACTGGATGTTAATGTTACATCTAATTTGCCAAACCGGTAGTTCCAAGGACTGGCTTGACCTGCCCACCCCACCGCTCCCCTCCCAGGAGTCTCCACACAGCCATTTTTTGATGCCAGGTAAGTGCAGAGCACATGCAGAGAAATTTCTGAATTCCCGGAAATTCCGGGAGACCCATTTTTGAAACAGGCCTCCCGGAAGTTCCGGAAATCCAGAAATGGGTCCATTTCCAGCCTCCAGAGGGCCTCCGGAGCCCTGGGGAGGCTGTTTTCACCCTCCCGGAAGCTCGAGAAAAGCCTCCGGAGCCTGGGGAGGGCGAAAATGTCCCCCCACCACTGTGGCACAGGAAGCCAAGTTGGCCATGCCGACTATGGCCACACCCACCCAGCAACCGGGCAGAGGACTGGTTGCTAAAAATTTTCAATCCCACCCCTAATCCAAAAGGCAGGAATGTTATCTAAAAGATGTCTTGTGGAGATCGTTAAGAAGGAGCCAAGTTGTTAAGGAAACAAAAGGGAAAAAAATGCTACCTGAACCAAATAAGACCTTGGATCTGAGCACATGGGAAACCCCTCTCCAAGCCCCATCAGGTGGTACCAGACTTGAAAAACAACAAGGCAAGAGCAGCTGCTAGTTTTGAGACTTCACAAAGCAAGGGCTTTGGGGTATCCCTGGTGTCCTGAAGCCACCCACCCTTCGAGTCATCTTTGGATCCAGACATGGTGGCTTCTATCTCTCTAGGTAGTGCCTGTCAGCCTAGTTGAGAAGTGTGGATGAGCCATCTCTAAGCAGTTTACAGAGTCAGCCTATTGCCCCCCAACAATCTGGGTTCTCATTTTACCGACCTTGGAAGGATGGGAGGTTAAGTCCACCTTGAGCCGGTGAGACCCAAACAGCTGGCAGCTGTTGATCAGCAGAAGTAGCCTGCAATACTGCATTCTAACCACTGTGCCACCACAGCTCTTGAAAATGAGATACATTAAGAGTCTCTTGGAGAGGTGGAGTCAAGAGAGGAATCAGCCTGGAGTCATTATGCTCCCACAAGCAATCTAAGTTCAACCCCTCTTGAATTCTGTTATTATCTAGTGCTAATTTAGTGCTAGTGTTAATTAGATTCCTTTGCATCAGTATGAATAATAAATCACAACTGGAACTTAACATGTGTTTCTGATGCTTCACACCTGAATAAATAGGTTTATTGGACATATGCCGCCCTTCTCCTAAAGGAGAATGAATGAGTGACTGTAAGCTAAACCTCCAAGCTTGTGTAATAGTGGGGCATTTGTAAAGAGGTCAAACTGGAGGAGGACAGGCTGTGATAGAGAACATTTACTGTACTTGAAGTTCCTCTCTTGGGATGTTAAGATTTGAGAGGGAAGCACCAACCTAGAAGATTAGCAGTCGATTCAGAGCAGATAAAGGTAAGGGGATTAGAAGACAGAAGAAGTCAACAAGTGATGGATTCCAAATTAGGGAGAAGCCAGGAATCCACCAATCAACAGTTCACTCAACAGCTTCTGCGGGGATGATATCACCTCTATGTGCCATTTCCAGATATCAAGCATTGGAATTTCTGATGTCATCACCGGAGCCAATTAGGGAGGGAATCATTAAGTTGCTCTAGAACAGGGGTGTCCAACCTTGACAACTTTAAGACCTCTGGACTTCAACTCCCAGAATTCTGCAGCCAGCCATGAAGTCCACAGGTCCACAGTCTTAAAGATCTCAAGGCTGGACACCCCTACTGTAGAACTTGATACCCTTCAATCCTTCTCATACAGAAATAGTGGTTGTTTAACAAGGACTACCTGTAAATTAGAGGTATAGCATGTTGGAGAAGGCTGAAGCAAAGCAATCATTCTATGGAGTTGGGAGTCTCTAGCCTTACCTTTCCCTGTTGGGACCACAACGGAGGCTCCAGCTGTCCACGGGGCAGGAGGCCATTCTCAAGGCAAGAAAGGAAGGCCAGGAGATGTCCGCCAGGTGGAAAATGGAGTGGGGGCCTCTGGATACCATCCTGGCTCACCAGCACCAAAGTCCCACCTTGGTCAGCTGCAGGGGGAAATGTTCCTTGCAATTATTGGTTTCCACAGCAACAAAGACAGTATAGAATTGCAATAATAAAACACAACCCCTTGTTGAAGTTAAGTAGGACCAAACGTCCATGCCAAACAAATTACTTAGGAATGCCGAGCACATCAATTTCATAGAGTCATAGAATCATAGGCCTGGTAGAGAATTTGGAGGTCATCTAGTCCAACTCCCTGCTAAATGCAGGAGTCTCATACCATCCTAGTCAAATGGTTGTCCAGTTTATTTTTAAAAAACCTTTAGTGATCTGCAACTGCAGGAGGTAAGCTTTTTTAAACAGATTAACAAAGTTGGAATGGACTTTGGAGGTCTTCTAGTCCAACCACTGCTCATACCATCCTAGTCAAATGGTTGTCCAGTTTATTTTTAAAAAACCTTTAGTGATCTGCAACTGCAGGAGGTAAGCTTTTTTAAACAGATTAACAAAGTTGGAATGGACTTTGTAGGTCATCTAGTCCAAAAGCCCTTGCCCAAGCAGGAGACCCTACACCAGTGATGGCTAACCTTTTCGCCATTGCATCCCAAAAGTGGGGGGGGGGAGGATAGGGGTGGACGTGCATGTGCATGCCCACACCCATAATTCTATGCACCCCACACACACGCATATGCACACGACCCCTTGCGCTCCCCCTGATTTTGGCATGTGATTTTGGTTGGACCGGAAGGTCCGTTTTTCACCCTCCCCAGGCTTCAGGTGCTTTCTAGGAGGCTGGAGAGGATGAAAACAGCCTCCCCATTGCCCCCGGAGGCCCTCCAAAATCCAGAAACAGCCTGTTTTCGGATTTCTGGTTTGCACGTTGGGCTGTTTTTCACCCTCTGGAGGCTTCAGGGAAGGCTTCTGAAGCCTCCAGAGGGTGAAAAATGGCCCAACATGCAAACTGGACGTCCGTTCTTGAACTTCCGGTTTGTGCGTTGGGTGGTTTTTCGCCCTCCGGAGGCTTCAGGGAAGCCTCCAGAGGGTATTTGTATTTGTATTTATT